TAAAGTGTGCGTGACTTTAAAGCCTCGTGTGACATTGCGGAGGAGGACAGAAGGGGGCGGGGCAGCGCCAGCTGTCATTACGTGGACGAGGCGAGGGAGTGGGAGGGTAGTTTCGTCTTGTGGGGTGTTCACTATGCTGTTGAGAACAACGGGAGCAGCACAAAAATGGGTGACGCCGAGGTTAGCTATGGCTGTGTAGACACCCTTAGCCGTGACCTGTATTGTATATAAAACAGCTTATGTTGTGTATTTACCTTGTGACACGAGCATTTGCATACATATATATACAGTTTCACATTGAGACCTCATTCTTGGACAGCAAATAAGTGGAACAGATTTCCAAGCTATATGCAATTTACATTTGTGCTAACTAGAAATCCTCTTTCTCTTACATGTTTGGGCACTTCTAAAACCACGATGCAACAATTAACGATCAAGATATCAATATCAATGAATTACCTGTCTGAGGCATACACTCGTCGAACACCCCTCTCTGCAAGAGTCCACGGAAAACACCCACCATTACAATGGAACATAGGCAAAGTCCACAAATACACAGCTCCTTCTGTCATTCCCCATACAATAGCATTACTCAGTGCCATTAGGTACGCCCCTCGATGGTGAAGCACAACTCCCTTAGGGCTAGCTGTTGTGCCAGAGGTATAGCCCAGAGCAATGCTATGCCACTCATCTTCGGGCGGTTTCCATTCAAAGTCGGGATCACCGCTTTCTAGAAACTTCTCGTATTCAATTGCTCCTTTCTCGAGTGCATATTGGAGCAACTTCGGATCGCAATTTTGATCGCCAATGACAATTAAAGTTGGAGGCTTAAACTTGCCCTTGCTTTTATCTGCCATGATTTTCAAAGCGTTCTCTGCCAAGGAATAGGACTCTTGATCCACCATTATGACATCAGATTGCGAATGTCCTAATAGAAACGCAATAGTCTCCGCGTTTAGACGGATATTAACCGTATTTAGAACTGCTCCAGACATTGGAATTCCGAAGTGTGCTTCGAATAAGGCTGGAATGTTGGGCGAAATAACCGCAACCTGTGGTTATGAAACAGAGAGGTAAGCACCACACCAGTTCTCTGAAAAATGTCAAGACGATAACCCTAGACCCTTTACAATAAATTAGAATCATTTCTAGGTTTTTTAATCTTCAAGGCAAGTTCACTCTTATTTGCAGGGAAAATCAAGTGTACATCAAAATCCATTTAAAAAATCACAAGTTTCATCTAATTTCTTCTGTAAATGCAAAACCAATTACAAATCAACATTTGACAGTCTTATATTTCATTCAACAAATCAAATCAGTAAATCCCTTCAAAATTGAAAAATCAAAAACACTAATAATTAATCATTGATCAAATTAAAAGCATCGCTCACGGTGCTTCCAAAGGTGACGGAGCGTTTGGTGAGGGCGGAGGCCAGCTGGCGGCACCGCCTGTAAGTCTGGCGCCACGTGTAACTGACAGAGCCATGGATTAAGGATTTCCGGGTCGGGTGAACAAGAGCGGCCCGATCCAGGAATCCGAGCGGCGACAAAGCGGTGTAGTTAGCCGGATTCCGGGGCAAATCATCTATGTCTTTCCGTTCGGCACCCATGTGTGTGTTTGGGAGGTGAGTTAGTATGTGCGAATTACGTGTAGAACTTGTCTATATGCAGAGATCATAAATGGAGCTAACAAATTAAACCTGCAATTTCGGTGAGTTGGCTAATATATATATATATATATATATATATATATATATATATATATATATATATATATATAGGATAATGACATAGAAAATCGATCTCTCGGCAATGTTTGGCGCTATATATATATATATCCCCATACGTATTATTTACAGAAATCAATTATTTTATTATTATTATTATTATTATTATTATATTATTATTATTATTATTATTATTATTATTATTATTATTATTATTATTATTATTATTATTGTTATTATTATTATTATTATTATTATTATTATTATTATTATTATTATTATTATTATTATTGTTATTATTATTATTATTATTATTATTATTATTATTATTATTATTATTATTATTATTATTATTATTATTATTATTATTATTATTATTATTATTATTATTATTATTATTATTATTATTATTATTATTATTATTGTTGTTATTATTATTATTATTATTAGGCCTGGCCCATGCGACAATAGTAACTGGGCTATTTAATGGCCTGTTCCGCAACAGAGGGACCTGTTTGGGAATGGGCCAGCCACCAGAGTATCAGTAGGACCTGATTTTTTTAAATTTCCTCGGAACAAACAAATTTGGGTTTTCCGCATATTCTGATTTTTTTCCCTAAAGTCGGAACGATATTTTTCATTTCGAATTTTGATTTTATTTGTTGGATCGAAATTGGAATTTCGATGCACGATCCAATTTTAATTTTTGAAAATAATTCCTAAAACTTCGATTCTTTCTGAAAATTACATTTAAAAAAAAAAACTTCGATCTTAAATTTTCCGATTATCTATTATAATTTATGCGACAAAAAATAAAATAAGATATCAAAAATTTATACCTAAACTAATATGAGTGGGGAAAAGGAAAGTTAGAACAAAATGAAGGAAATTTATGAAAATTGCCAAGTATGATGTATTTATAAAAAAGCACTTGAGAGATGTATTTACGGTAATATTTAGAATATGATAATAGTACCGTTGGCTGCGCATTTATTTCTTTATATATATATGTGTATGACTCGGTAGGTAGTTTCCTGGAGCCTGGAATTATCGAAAGTTCTCGTCACAGATAGCAATAGTTCGAAGATGCATACATCTCTTTCGCCTCCTTCTCAAATCTCTGTCCCGAGGAAATACAGTGGTGTTTGATTATTCTATTGAGTATACAGCAGCGATTCCACAATTCCGTCGCTATCGGCTCGTCACTGCCACAGAGTTGCTCCGTGTTTCCACAAACTGCTTTTCTCTCTCCGGTCTTCGTTCATGCCTTTTTTTGGTTTTCTGCTCTGCGATGATGAAAAGTTGATCGCCTTTTGAATATTTTGCTGGTGCGATTCCTGAATTTTGCGATAAAGTTGAACAATCCGTTTAGTCTAGTAATTTGGAGTGGTTTTACGCGGGTAATGATCGTCTGAAGCGCGGCGATGGAGAGTAATCGACTCGTTGGGTCAGAGATTCATGGCTTCCACACCATGGAAGGTACGCGTATCAGTATCGGGAGTTTTATTCGAGAAAATTTGTAGAATTGTTTGATGTTTTCCGAGCAGTCAACTCTCGAATTGTGAATTCTTAGGGTTTAGTACGCTTTTATCATTAACCTGAGTCTCTGACAGTTTCGATTTTAATTCCAGGTTATAATGTGTGTTTTAACTTTCTGGTTTAGTAGCGAAGTAGTAGAAAATGAAGATGTTATCTGTTGTTAGAAATTGAATTTCCTTACAACTTCAAATACTCCTACATTTGGAAATCAGGGGAATGGAGTTCTAATAGTCAATGCTAGGTAGTTCCTACTGAGAGTTGATTTAATTTTACTTTGTACTTGGTATACAAGCAGTTGAAATTGGTTAGTGGCAATATTAAGCTGTTAAGAACAAGTTTTTGGTCGGCGGTCAAAGGACAAGAAAACTAATAAGTAATATATTAATTTGGAACTGAAATCAATGGGCGTTCACCGCGTGGAGAATGGAGATAAAAAGGTTGAAAAGATAACAAGAGAACAACAAACATTCCATGTAATTTTTAGCACTTTAATATACATTATGTGCAGAATACCCCATACCATAATGCAACATTGCAGAGGAATGAACAACCCCATCTGATATAGTATCCATAAATGTTATTGCAATATGGTTCAAGTCATACGACCCACAGATGATATACGTGGATCTGAATGTACTTGATTTTTTTTCACGAGAACATTTCTATTGAATCGTTGTATATCAATTTAGAATCCTGATTGAAAAGTTACATTTTGGTCTACACTTTTAAGAGGTATATGTCCCCATAGTCTATTTTCTTTTGCTTATGTAAGTGGCTGTAGTATCACTGTGCTTATTAATACAATAACCACATAGTAAACAGCGTGTGTCCACAATTGTATTCATTTTTAGTACTTTTTGTGAACTGTTGGATCTTTTTTTACCTGTACAGATTTGGATTTTGTCAATATGATGGAGGAAGCCAAGGCAAGATGGCTCAGACCGAATGAGATTCATGCTATACTCTATAACCACAAGTGTTTCACTGTTCATGTCAAACCCATGAATTTGCCAAAAAGTAATACATTGCTGTGTTTACATATGTTTTTGTCTTTTGTAATTGGCTGAAAGAAATGTTAAGAAAGTTCATATTCCTGTTTTCTGGATCTAATATGAATGAATGTCTATTTGTCAGCTGAAGTGGGTTGTAGAAGTCATGATGGCTTGAATTGAACTGATATCAATTTTGTTGTACTAAACAGGTGGCGCAATTTTGTTGTTTGACCGCAAGATGCTCCGCAATTTTAGGAAAGATGGCCATAACTGGAAGAAGAAAAAAGACGGAAAAACTGTAAAAGAAGCTCATGAACACTTGAAGGTAAGGTCTCATATGCATTGATGTTATATACAACATTAAAACAAAGAAAATGTGAGGTGAGGCATGGTTATGTATCAATTTGCATCAACCTGTGAACAAAAGTAGGCCTCAGCGGTTGGTTAAAGTCAGAGTTCCTTGGATTTTTTAAATAGCTTTCATGAAGTTATGATTACAGACCATTTTGTACAGAGAGTTCTGAATGGCAAATCAAATCCCTTCATCCCACACATTTAGTTAAAAACAATTAGACAAAAATGAATGAATTTACACCACTATTACATAATTGGCGAGCTTTCCTCATAAATTCAGAAAGTAGACGGATAGGATCTGTCCGTTTTCTTGTTGAGACTGTGATGAGTATTACTGTTTGAATGATGAACATAGAGTTGTTTGTCATTGTTATCTGTAAACTGATTTTTTTATGCATGGTTTGGATGCCTGCCAAAGAAGCCAGTGCTTAACAATAGTGGTAACCAAAGAAGCCAGTGCTTAACAATAGTGGTAAGATAAATATAGATGAAGCCTTAATTTCAATAGGGCTTCTGAAAATGTTGGATGTTCAAGCTTTATACTTATTTGCACATGTATAGGGATAATAATCATTTCTGAGTTGTGTCTCTGAGTTATGCCGTGTTGACACTATATGCAAGGAGCTAAGCGTTGACACTATATGCAAGGAGCTAAGCATTTTATCATCTTTTGAGTTTCTCATGTCATTGTCATTCCCTATTAGCTTCTTTTCTTTCTGATGTATTTGCATACGGTGTAAAGAGAAATATTTTGGAGCTATGTTTTTCACACGAATAGCATTGGCAACGCACAAATTTTAGGATTTATCTTTATGTATTAGGTATTATATTGACATGTAAACACTGATTTGCTTGCAACATAGGTTGGCAATTCGGAAAGAATTCATGTATATTACGCACATGGAGAACACAGCCCAACGTTTGTTCGCAGATGCTACTGGCTACTTGACAAGTATGGTATCTGAAATATGTTCTAATTAGTCTAAATATTCACCCTCTCCTCTTGTCTTTATCTTTTTTAACATTGATGTTGCATTCTCTTCACACTCGTGGATTAGTATGTTAAATTGAGCAATGCGTTCTTGTTCCATGTATATTTTCATTAATACCTAATTATTGCAGGTCTTTGGAACATATTGTCCTTGTGCATTATCGTGAAACTCAAGAGGTTTGTCTCTTACTATAGAATAACTCTTGTTAATCAATGTTATTTACAGAATACTAATGTCTAATACATTCCAAACTTCTAATACTTAGGACAATGCGTTTTAAAGGATAATCCATTTCCGTATTACACATGTATTCACTGATTTTCCTTGGTATGTATCAACCAGATTCTAAAGGCATTTATCAATCTATCAGGAGTGTATTAAAATTTAGTACTTAGCATTGATTCCAAATATCTTTCTGTGGGGGTTAGTATATTCTTGCTCTCACTTTCCAACATTTCCTATTTTTGTATCTTTCTGTGGGGGTTAGTATATCTTACCCTTTTTCTTGCAACCATTCCAGTCCTCAATTGTAATGTCATCTAGTCTCATGACAATGGTTTAGCAGTTTACTACTTCCACCTTTTTTTCTAGAGATGAGGCCACAGGAAAACGTAAATTAATCATTATATAAGCTGAATGACACATGATGTATATAGAATGAGGAGTCCCATTTCAGCATTATCAATGCAAATTAACTCTTGCGAAAGACATTAACTGTTATAATACATATTTAAGTAACAATTAGTGCTAACACAACTCTGGGTTGTGGTTAACTTATGATACAGTTGCAGGGTTCCCCAACCACACCTGGAAATTCAAATTCTAGTTCAGTTGCCTCTGACCCATCTGCTTCCTGGCCTCTATTGGAAAAATCTGATTCCACGGTTGATCGGGTGTATGAAGGGGATAAGAGATCACTTTTAGGTATATAAATATTTGATTTAGCACTCAGAGTTAGTTGGTCAATTTCTCTTGAAAGAAAGAAATAATTCTTTCAGTTGGCTTAAAGGTTTTCCTTGAGTACAGCTAGAAAGAGTTCTAGCATGGTGTGTCTGTTTCTCAATTACATATAAAGTTAGTGGTAGCTTTTTTGTAGTTGAAGCCAAAGGCTTATTTGATTGACATGAACTTTTAGCTGGAAAATGGCTAGTATTAAATTCCTCTTTTCTGTGTTATTTTCCAGAGCGTGACAACAGCACAACCGTAGAAAATCATGAGCAGAGACTTCATGAGATAAATACACTTGAATGGGATGAGCTTTTGGTGCCAGAGCAACAAGGTGTGAGCTTTATCTGTTGAAGAATAGTACTAGAAAATTCTCAAGAAATTACTTACCATTCATTCTTTTGATGTTTGCATGGCGCGCAGAAAATGCTGCAAGCTCTGAGTTGACGAATCTATATTTGACGTGCAGTTTCAAAACTATGGTAAGCGGACTGATTATTCTCTTTGTTTCTCGTTAAAGGAGGTATTCCACGTTTAAGGTTTACGATATTTAATTTATGAACTACTTTGTCAATTGCATATTCTTAAAATGCTACATTTTTTTTACACGGTGATGAATTAACGCACTATTTAGTATCTGTGACTCCATTCTGCAAAGACCAGACTAGATCTTTATAGCCACGGAAGATCCTTTTTGATGCACCAGAACTAAGGTTCTTTCTGAATACAGGATGACGCCTTATCAACTAACAAAGCATCCCCAGAAAGTTCTGGTGATAGTTTTTCTGGACATGTCTCTGGGAGTACTTCCATTGACTATAATGTTGCGAGAAATATACCCTACCAGACAGCTGCACACGAGACAATCATGAATTTACAAAGTTTTAATTCTGGGCTGGGGCCACTAGGTGGACGTAATTCCATAGAGAATCCAGCCAAAGACCATTTCAAAAAGCTTGACAGTTTTGAAAAGTGGATGACAGATATCATTGCTGATTCTCCTGGATCAGTAGATAATCAAACTCTGGAATCTTCATTTTCAACTGAGCATCAATCTTTCAAATCTTCGACGATGGATAATCATCTGTTATCTGCGGTGGACCAGATATTCAGCATAACTGATGTCTCACCTTCATGGGCTCTTTCAACTGAAGAAACAAAGGTCTATTTTTCTTTTTTCTTTTTTCCTTTTTCTTTTTTCTTTTTTCCTTTTTTTTTTTGGCTACGGTTTTAGCTTACTATATGGGGTTGTATTCTGCTGTTAATGCATTTTTATTTGTGACGCCTATGAAATTATGAAGCAGGTCTTCACACGTTGGTCTTTGAGAATGGAGTTATACAACTGACAATAATTAGAGTTGCTTGGAGAAAAGATTACAACTCTAATGGAAGTATATAAAATGAATTGAGGAATAGATTAAGAAATATTCAGTACTATTTTGCTGCATGATTATCTTCCCCTCTGGAATGCACATATTCCATCAGATTATTAAATGGATGCAGTCCCTTTCTCTGCTACAGTATTTGATTGCTTTTCAATTAATAATCAGTAGAAAGTTTTGTTATGAAGTCATCTATCTTCTTGTATATAAATGGAATAGGATGGTAGGCAAATGCTATAGATAATGGACGACAGTTTCTTGACTACTTGATGGTTATGCAGATTTTGGTGGTTGGTTTTTTCAATGGGCAACTACCCGACACAGACTTCCATTTATATCTTGCATGTGGAGATTCTGTTGTTCCTGTTGAAGTTGTCCAAGCTGGAGTATTTCGTATGGTAATTCCAGCTCAGACACCTGGATTAGTGAATCTCTACCTTACTTTTGATGGTCATAAACCCATCAGCCAAGTCTGGCCTTTTGAGTTCCGAGCTCCTGTAGTACCTCATAAGACAATATCTTCGGATGATAAACCTAATTGGGAAGAATTTCAACTTCAGATGAGGCTTGCTCATCTGTTGTTTTCATCCGATAGCCTGAATATATTCTCCAATAAAGTATCCCAAAACGCCCTAAAGGAAGCCAAAATTTTTGCTCAGAGAACAGCACACATACCCAACGGTTGGGTTCATTTGACCAAATTGATTCAAGATGCCAAAGTGCCTTTTCCTCAGGCCAAAGATAGCTTGTTTGAGTTGACTTTGCAGAATAGACTACAAGAATGGTTGTTGGAGAAAGTAGTATCGGGGTGCAAAATTCCCGAACGCGATGAACAAGGCCAAGGTGTGATTCATTTGTGTGCGATCTTAGGTTATACTTGGGCGGTTCTCCCATTTTCATTGTCTGGCTTATCAATGGATTATCGAGATAAATCCGGGTGGACAGCTCTTCATTGGGCTGCTTATCAAGGAAGGTAATTAGTAATCAGCGCTTAATTTCTTATCTTAAAAACCAGCTATCAATAGTGGATTTTTGATTCATCACATTTTAATGTTATTCCATATCAATCCTTGCAGGGAGAAAATGGTAGCTGCTCTTCTATCTGCTGGGGCAAAGCCAAATTTAGTTACAGATCCAACTTCAGCACACCCCGGTGGATGCACTGCTGCTGATGTGGCTTCGAAAAACGGGTTCGATGGTTTGGCAGCTTATCTTGCTGAAAAGGCATTAGTTGCGCAATTCAACGATATGACATTGGCTGGAAATGTAAGTGGGTCCCTCCAAATTACCTCGAACGAGACCATGGATCCTGGAAATTTCACGGAGGACGAATTGTATCTGAAGGATACACTAGCGGCATACAGAACTGCTGCTGATGCAGCTGCGCGTATTCACTCTGCATTCAGGGAGCATTCGCTCAGTGTCCGTACAAGAGCAGTTGAGGCATCTAATCCTGAGATGGAAGCACGAAATATAGTTGCAGCGATGAAAATCCAGCATGCTTTTCGGAATTACGAAACACGTAAACAGATGGCAGCTGCTGCTAGAATCCAGTACAGGTTCCGTACTTGGAAGATGCGAAGGAATTTCATTAACATGCGCCGTCACGCTATCAAAATTCAGGTAATTCGAGCTGGGATTTGCTTATTTTTATATGGGATGTATGCTGTTATAGATTTGATTAGTTATTCTCTTTTCCAATCTGAAGTAGATAAATCGTGGCCAGGGGTTGAAATTGTACGGATTGGAACAGAAAACAGTGTCCTTCGAAAAATATCCGATTTTTATAAAATGAAAAACGAATCTAAAACTGATTCCGGAAGTTTTGGAAATTGAAAATCCATTTTGATCTCAGAAATCATGTTACTTCAATATTCTGATTATAATTTCATGCCTTGTGATTGTAATCTCTTGTTAAAATGCAGGCCGTTTTCAGGGGATTCCAAGTCCGAAAGCACTATTGCAAGATTTTGTGGTCAGTCGGGGTTGTTGAAAAGGCGATTCTGCGGTGGCGTAAGAAGAGAAAAGGCTTCCGCGGGCTTCAAGTTCAAAAATCCGACGAGCAAGATACTCCCACTCCCAAAGATCCCAATGTTGAAGAGGACTTCTTCCTAGCCAGCAGAAAACAAGCTGAGGATCGTGTTGAGAGATCTGTGATAAGGGTCCAGGCAATGTTTAGATCAAAGCAAGCCCAAGAAGATTATAGGAGGATGAAATTGGAACATAATAAAGCCACGGTAAACAACTCTTTTTTCATTTATCCTCATTGGCCGATACTCGATAGTGATCAAATTTAATCATAATTTTTTTCTTCTCTTTCTATTTTTGGGATTTGCAGCTGGAATACGAAGAACTACTTCATCCTGATGTAAACATGGGATGAAGAAAGGTCTGATCTTACCTCCGATTGCTTTGGCACGAGCACAGTGGACTCGTTAGGAGTTAATTGTTCAAGTGCATGTTTTTGGTGTTGCTGAATAACGCGTGTACATATAACTGATGTAGATTTTGAGGTTAATGCAGGTCCTGTTTCGAACACCACCCTCTACACTGAGCCTCAAAACAAACCAGGGTTTTGACTTTCATGTTTTTGTTGTTTCGGATATTGCTTCGTTTTAAACCGCTGCAGTGGAAACAAACAGATTTGGCTAAATTGGACAATGGTTTCATGCAAATAACAAAATAGTTAAGGACCCACTTTTTTTTTCCATCAACCACATTAGATATAATGCACTTTAAAGTGGAATTCTTGATAAATTCGATTTTTTGAAGAAAGGGACAAGGTGATAAAAACAAAACAATACATGCTCATTTAGATTGAAGAATGAAGCAATTGAGCATGTAATTTTAAAATCCAGTTTAACTTGTTTTGATTGATTCATTTCACTGTAGATTTCAGTTGATTGGCTCTGGATTTAAGCTGTTGTTTCTGTGTTGGTGCAACGGATTTCGAATCCATTGTAGTTGAAGTCATTTGCATATGCATAGACAAAGACGAAACCAAACACAACATCGTACGAGTAAGCATAACAAACCACCTATCCACTATCAAGAAAAGTTGACATTAGATATTTTTTACATTGCCAGTATTTGAACTTGAAACTGCAAATGACTTTCCAAACTGAAGTAGACTATTTCTCTTCTCAATATCTCTTACTTAATGTACCGCAACAACAACCGAAAGCCCTCATCGTATCTCATTTTCCTTACAATGCTGCACACGAACACCTCAAGTGGTCGAACATTTGTCCTATCAAGGTTGTCCTTACCTTTACCCGTGGCAGCACCGGTTAGACCTAGGTAGGGCTAGATAAGTTCATTAGACATTAATGTGTGTAGGTGTGTGATTATGTGTGCGCCAGAGCAACATCATCGTCAATAAGAGAAAATTATTGTCAATCTTTTCAATTCTTCATTAATATAATACTTTCTATAATATAGTCTAGAACAAAATTTAACATATTATAATTGATTTGAAATCGAAATAAAACATATAAAACTAAAAACAGACACATTTGATCGGGTCCAAGTCCAACAATTACAACCAATTTATCAGCCCAGTCCATACTATTTATGGCCCAAAAAAGGGTCCATAAGGCCCAAATACCTCGGGGCATTATCGTCAATACAGACCCCAGAACTAGGGTTTCAATACACATCTCTGCTAAATCAATTCCATTTCACACAGTCCATTCTCCTCTCACAACTCACACCTCCTATCGCCGCCCGCCGCCTCTAGGTAAAAATTACTTCCGCCACCTTCTACAATGAAGCAGTATCACTGCATATACGTTAAATAGAGTTTATCTTACTCATTTTTTTTGCCGTGTTGTTTTTGTTTGGGTGAAGCAGAGCTGTAGAGAGAAATGGCCAAGTCGAAGAATCACACCGCCCACAACCAGTCGCACAAGGCCCACAGGAACGGCATCAAGAAGCCCAAGCGCCATCGCAACATCTCCACCAAAGGGGTAACCTTCTCTATTACTTTCCCTCTCTCTTTGCGTTCACACTGTGTGCGTGTGTGTGTGTATTCTGATTTGGATTTTTTTTGAATCGATTCGCAGATGGACCCGAAATTCCTGAGGAACCAGAGGTATGCGAGGAAGCACAACAACAAAACCGCTGAGGTCTCCAGCGCCGAAGAGTAGATTTTGAACTTAATCTATTTTATCCACCCTTTTATCTTTTGAATATTAGCAAGACTTTCATTATGTATTTTCAAAACATCAATTTCGTAATGTTTTAGTTAATTCCGTGTTTTTTTTTGATGATATTCACTGGCTTTGGTATCTGATTACAGTATTATTTGACTTCTTTTTCGGGTTTAATCTTTTTAATTATTGATCGTCTGATGTGAACTCAACCAATCAATGATGATATGCATTTGTAATTGCGTTTGAAAACTTGTATTGTTTAGGTAGCTCTAATGATGATATGCATTGAGGTACTAGTTCTTTTGATGAATCTCAATGCGTGTCATAGAAAACGTGTGTTGTTTAGTGGTTGACCTGAAATATGCTTGTTCGGTTTGAGCATTGCATGTTTCTTTGATTGATTCGACGTTGTTACCAACTTCTCTCTGCTATAAACTTATCAAATAAGATGTCGTGAGTTCGATCGATTCTGTGTTGTTCCTATGACATTACATGTTCCTTTAGCTTTGATTGATTCTATACTGTCACTGAATTCTCTTTGGTGTAAACTTGTCAAATGAGATATTTAAGTTAGATTTGGTGTTGTTCCTAAGACATCACATATTTATTTAACTTCTTTGATTGATTCTATCTTGTTACTTACTCCTCTCTGCTATAAATTTATCAAATAAGATATCGAAGTTCAATTCTATGTTATTCCTATGACGTTACATATTTCTTTAACCTCTGTGATTGATTTTACGCCGTCCCTAAAATCTATCTGATGTAAACTTGTCACATGAGATATCGAAGTTCGATTATGTGCTAAGTTCGTAAGTTACATATTTCTTTAACTTCTTTGATCAATTCTATGCCGTCCCTGAATTCTCTCTGTTGTAAACTTGTCAAATGAGATATCGAAGTTTGAGTCTGTTGTTCCCAAGACATTACATATTCCTTTTAACTTCTTTGATTGATTCTATGCTGCTTAGCATACTCTGCTGTTTGGTTCTACCTGCTGTTGAGTAATCTCCATAAATCTGTGAAATTATATGTTGTAGTTTCTACTGCTTAAATCTGTCAAGACACTTGTTTGGATCATCTCGAGTCTCTCGATGGATGTGTTTTAACAAATGTAATGATTTCAATATTAGAAGTGTATATATGTTTATCTTGATAGTTGTTTTCCTATATAAATTGTGCATATGTTTATCAACATAATGTTTAAACTAGATAAAATTTTGGCAAATTATACTGTTTTGTTAGTAACAGGCCAAATAATGCTCATATGATATTGCTCTGAATTTGTTATTACTGAAGTTCCTGTTTACCAAGTGCAATTGTGTATTTCATCCGTTTTATGTAGCAAAAAATAAAAATTCATCTTACAAATTGTTCCATTTCTTGCTTTAAAAGTTTCGAGACGCTCGATTTTCACCCCTAATATTTCTCATGACGCAGAATCATTTCGTTAACAACCTTATTTGGAAGAAAAATCTAAGTACCGCCTTTTATTACTATAATTATATAATCATTCCTCAATCAATCTACCTATAGAAACGGTTCATTTCTAACATTGCTTGATTCTTCGTCCTTTAAAAAGCAACCAAAAAAACTCTTATTCGCCCACTCGTAAGAATATTTACAACGTTCAATCGATAAGAATGTTTGTATTTGTGTGTAAATCAATGTGAATTATATACGAACGAACTTCACCGGGTGAGTTTATGCTACGAAATCTACTAAATAAACCATTCAATATTAAGGTTTTTTTCCCCCTTTCAAGAAAACTATTCAATTACTATAAGTTAGTGACAAAATATTTTGATTAAAACGTAGGTTGTAATTTATTTCAAACAAAACAACTTCATAGAATTTCATATTGTGGACAGTAAGATAAATACTGTACGGAGCTATCTGAACTACAAAGAGATCTAATTACAATAAACTACGCCAAGGTTAATATCGTCATTTCGCATCACCGCTCCAACTGTTTTCGCCAAAGATCGGGCTGGAAAAGGATGCAATACAAAAAGAGGAGAGAGAGAGAGAGAGAGAGAGCGCTCGTTCACTAGCTCCGGCATCAATGGCGGTTAGGGTTTTTCAGTTGTCCCGAATACGATAGCCCGGCCCCCTTGAATTACTATCTCAACTCGTTCATTGAAAAAATCATCTGTTGCAATTTTTTTTTTCTAAACCGTAATTTTTCCAGTTAAAGGTTCGGTGAGTTTAATTTTAACCTGGGTAGAATTGATTAACTTCGTGAAGTGGCGAAATTCTTTGGTTTTCTCCATGGGCGCGCAAGATAAACCTCCGAACGCTGGCTACTCCAGGCAGGTTAGTGAAGAAAAAGCAAATCTAGAGCAACGAGAAATAATTTCCTTGTTAATTAGCCGTATGATTGAGTTCCTTTCCGCTAATTTCTCTATTTTGGGGCTGTCTTTGAGCTCCGTGCATTTTTATTCACCAGAATTGTTGAATAGTGTTTATTTTATTCGCTAGAATTGTTGAATTGTTTGATTTGTTTTTTTTTTTTTAGTAGATTTGGTAGCATAAACGTGTAAACTATTGATCTTTGAGGAGATAATGTTTGCTAGCACTTGAGTAGTTATATACTGAGCTTGTTTTCCTTTAAAAGTAAGGCACCTTTTTTGCTTTACCATGAGATAATTGAATTAGGAACTTGTTTTGGCTGATTTTTTGTGAGTACTTATCTGTTGTGGTAAGATGGATGTATAAATGCTGGTTAGTTTATTGCCAGACATAAAAACATTTAAGTTTTGTTGCATTGTGTAGTGGGCTTGAGAGTAATATGTAAGGTTCTTTTGTAGAAATCTATTAAGAGCTTTTGCAAAGATATTTAAATGCTGTTGCAACTCACAATAGTATTACATGTGTATGGAGACTGTGCAGACATTTGGAGTTCAATTATATTGCTCTCCAAGAACTTGGTTGCGGACTGTATGATTTCTTTAATCTGTTATCTAATAGATGTAGTTATTTTATTCAACTGATGAAATGAATTTGAGTGGGATATTTACTGCGTTCGTTTTGCGGGTGATTCCGTGACGGTAATATGTATTGTGTCCCTATGTTTTGATGGAGGGGCATATCTTAAGTTGGCATTGCATGAAGGACATTGATGGTTGCTAGGAATAGTACAATCTTACTGTCCATTGTGAGCTATCTTCTTCTTCTTAAAGAAGTTAATGCTTGCATTGTGTCAAGTATGATTATTGTCATCAATGGCTAAACTTGTCTTATGGCACCCATGCCAAAAATAATTCCTGCCTGACCCTAAACTTTGGTTGAGTCACTTGGTTTATCAATTCATTTAGCTTTATCTGCATTTTTGCATCTCAATCAAGATCTGAACTTAGTTATAAATTGTAAAAGTATAGCTGGTATATGTGTGACAATATATAGTTTCAGGCTTTCAGCAATCCTTTTCTTTCCCTGCATCCTCTTCGTTATATGCAGAGAAATTCCTTCTCAATCATTATTACAATACAGACTTTGTAGTTTGTCATCTATCATTTTTACGATGAAAAGGATCGATTCATTGTTCTCACATGTGGTAGTCTTGATCTCAGTTTGTTAAAGTATATCGCTTGATTGAGGACGGGAAATGGGATGACCAAGGAACTGGCCTTGTCACTGTCGATTATTTGGAGGTATGACCTTTTGTTGTTTTATTCTTCTGCAAAATTTTCTTAACACGATGACTTAAAAATCATTATGTATTACAAATACTATATTGAACTGTCGTAACTTATGGCACAGAGATCAGAAGACCTGGGATTATTTGTTGTCGACGAGGGAAACAATGAAACGTTACTGTTGCATCGTATCAGTTCAGATGATATTTATCATAAGCAAGAAGGTATATTTTTGCCATCAATAACATTAACTTTTTTCATATTTGCTTAGACTTCAACCTTTTCTATTTCCTTTTCCATTCCAGAGACAATTATTTCATGGAGGGATCCTGACTTTTCAACTGAGTTGGCTCTCAGCTTCAAAGAGGCTGCTGGTTGCACTTACATATGGCAAGTATAGGACATATTCTATTTTTTTAAACCTTCCTTTCTTTATGATTTAATCTTACCATGCAGATTGCAGATCATAACATTTTTGTTTTCATATCCGTGCTATACAGGGACCGTATATGTAGTGTGCAGCGAAATATGCGTTTTGGATCACTTACTGGTAAGTGCTTACCTGTTTCCTCCATTTCTTTTAGCTGGTTTTGTGCATCTTTTTTACTGTTCCTGAGCCCATATTTTTCTAGTTCCTTGGGGTGTGTGGATTTTGCTTTTGTTAGACCATTTGTTACTCTAAGTGATTCATGTTTTCATAAGAATGGAGAAGAAATTGAGATGGCGATTCTTTATTTGAGTTGAAAAAAATGTTTTGATGTATTTGAGATCACATATATTTGTTCAATTCACATGTTTTTGATTTTGTGAGAATCGACATTGTGTTTCATTCTTTGCATATGGAAACAATTGGGACGGCATATGGAATTTGTCTGTGTGGCCAGTATCGTTCTTATTTTATCCAGCCACATCATTGGATATATTAGTTACATTTCTGAGAAACCAGACGTTGGATATATTATATATTTATATTAGTAATAATATGTTGCATATAGTATATATCTATTAGTAGTAATATGATCATTTACCATGGGAATTGATGTTATGTTAATTAAAAGGCATTAACACTCATAAGATTGTAGTTCTGATAATGAGATGCATGTTCATGTCAGTGACTTAGTGTTATTGTTCATATTCTTCTTTGAGTTACTATGTGTTATCATTTGCTCTCACTATTGGTTATTGCTAACTATTCCCATAGTTAGTATCGGATAATCACTATTGAAGAAACATGTAATGCTTGTTTTGAGGGCGGTGCAAAATTACAACTTGGATTTTTTTATTGTGCTTTTGGTCTATATTTTATCACCCCTTCTCTAGTGTTGGTTAGAAGTTAGATTGTAGAAGGTAGTTGGGTTGGAATTTTGATTTTATCACTCTCTTAACAAGATATGATAGTGGACATGAATAAATTTCCGATTGAATTTCTAGTACAAGATTAGCCATAAATATGTTTCGTTGATTCACTATTGCTACCAAGTAATATAATTTACTTAAAAAGGCGAATATCGTAGGCAAGTAAAATTCTTAAACTAAGTAGCTTAGTTAAGAAAACACTGAATACGCTGATTGAAATCAATAAAAAACGAGCGTAATATTTTATCTTTCTCCCATTGTTGATTGTTTTCCTAATTCCTAGAGTTCAAGAAGTTATAAAGTCCAATTATATTAACCTTTAATTATGAATTTACTTTCCCATATTACTACGAAAACTAATGATTGATAAAACATTAATCAAAAGTTCGAGCAATGACAACCCATGATCAATAGGTATGTTCCAATAACACACATTCAGTACAATTGACTCGAGAGTTTTTCTACGAGCGCATTTTTACTTGATAAATATATTTTCCAATCAACCTCAACTTGAACAATTAACATTGGCCAAATATATGAGCCCTATCAAAATAAAGAAAAAAGATATCAAGAAATTAAACTTGCTTAAATCTGATTAGATGGTTGAGGAATCCCCACACAGGGTTCCTACAAAATCCTAAATATAAACTTTTAGATGAAGTGGTCATTCAACATGGTATCAAAGCTGGTCAATGAAGGGTCGTGTGTTCGAATCCCACCGTCGTGCTTGCATGCGAGAGGTCTATTGTAGTTCAACTTGGCAAACTAGGAAACAAATCGCGTACATAGATTTTTATATTGTGTGGACCTCGGCAGCCCCGTGGCCTAAAGCTAAATTCAATCTTATAACATCATCTATGTGGACCACCGTTTTAATTAATGTGTATTGCGTCACGACTAACCAAATCTCTATTTTTAGCCACTACCAACAAACGGACCACAACCTTAATTAATGTGGACCGTCCAACACCATCTTTGTCTGTAAGTGCGATTTTGATCATATTGCGGTTCGAAGTTTGGAAAACGTAAACATGAAAGTTGTAGCTCAATTAGTTGCTTCGCGGTGCAACTTGAATAAGCTCAATTGAAATTAGGATGATATTTTTTTTATACTTGTCATACTTGACTATGAAACCCCCGCCTCTTGTTTTTTTTCCCTTCATATTTTACTGAATTTTGATGTTGCAAAAGTCAATACTCCCGAGTATGGGCACAAAGACACACAAATGAGTCATGGCATGGTGTTGTTAAGTCGGCAACTCTGACTTATGTAAGATGTATAGATTATGCCATTATAGCCTTAGTCGTATAAGTGGACTTGTATTTGGTGCCTTGGTCTTCTGTATTTGGGTTTTTTTGGTCCAGCAATATGCATTTCTATTGAGTTTATGAAACTTAACTCTAGCTGTATTTGTAATAAATTGTGACAAACGAGCATCTTGCATGAAGTAGTTGGATGCCTTTGTCCTGCCCTTCCTAAAATTATTTCGTTTAGCACCTGTGTTGAAGCTAGTGGTTAACGTTTCATGTTCTAAAATTTTCAGATGATACATGCAATAATGTTAACAGTGAGTTGAGGGAGTTGCCTCCAGTTGAGCTGTCTACTCTCCCTTTGATACTTAAGGTACAATCTGATGAGCAGTACCTTCCGTAGAACCTATTATCAATCTTGTAATTCATGGAGTTCTATTTGATTGTACTTCAGCATTTATGCTGGATTTTTCTCATTCCCGGCTCCTGTGCTGCGATTCATTATTTTTTGTCACATTATAAAGATGACACACTTGATTTCCTTTTGGTCTTTGGTTGCAGACTGTTGTTGAGAGTGGCGTTACAGATCAGTTGCGCGTGACTGAACTTATATTACATGATGTAAGCACTGCCTGTTGAGAATGATAATGTTTTTGGACATTTGACTATATATTCTATATATAGTAGTTATTTATCAACATGCCTTAATTTAGTGCACTGTACGCTTTTATATGCTCTTTCTTTGTTGAATCTATAGTAGCTACACGAATTTGTCTTTATCAATAGATATATCGGGCTATATTTGCCTTATCCTATGTCAGTGAGAATTGCCAAAAGCTTTTGTTTTTGAGGTTTTTAGGATGTTTGCTACTTACGAAGGCTTAGAATTCCTATTCCCTTTTCTTCATTTGTTGTTAGCCTCTTTCATTTTGTAATTTATTAATTTCTCTCCCCTTCTGATTTACTGCTTCTGACTACCAATTTTGCGTTTTTCTTTTCTTCCGTTTCTTAGTTGGTGCTAACTTACGTGAAGTCTATGTTGTTGCAGCAAGATTTTTTTCAGAAGCTGATGGAACTGTTCAGACTGTGTGAAGATTTGGAAAATGTTAATGGTCTTCACATGATTTACAAAATCATCCGAGGAATCAGTATGTAAAATTGCCAGTCTATTTTAGCATGCTATCAAGAGTTGTAAGCTTTTGCATTGATCTAAAATTTCTTTGTCTATGCTTACGTGCAGTTCTACTAAACAGTCCTCAGATCTTTGAGAAAATATTCGGGGATGACTTGATCATGGATATAATTGGATGCCTTGAATGTAACTCTCTCTCTCTCTCTCACATCTAAAGTTTCAGATCAACCTTTTTCTGTTCTTCCTTATACGACAAGCTTATCAGTGGTTAGCAGTTAGACTATTAATTTTATATTATTTTGCATCTTATTTCTTGATGCATTTTTAACGTGAAATATGTGTAGCAATCAATCAGAATATTCTCCTAAGTTACTTATCTAGCTCTAGATGACAAGAACATTTACGGATTTTATTTGCATTCCCCTTCCACTATGAAGCGGTCAAGTTGTACAAGTTAATTTGTCCAAATATATCTTTGCTGAAAGAAGACATGGTTCAATTGCTAATAATTCACCTCTCAAGTGATAGAAAGGCCTTAGTGGTACTTTGTTTTGTTCCTATATACCATTTTAATCATCAAGGGAACCGCTAGACTCTGTTCAATGCTACACATGTCTCATATATTGACCTCGTGACTTGATGCTTCATTTTGTGCAACTGAGTTCATCGACTATGAAAGGCAAAACTTGAATAATCTATATTTGGATTTTGCGGAAATTTCATGGATTAATTTAGAGGATGTCTGCTAAAATTCAGATTTCCTCTGAAGGTGTGCATATACATGTTAATTTGGTTATCATGTTCTTCTCCAGTGTGCAACTCTACTTCCATTTCGGTGCAAACATTTTATTGTTTAATGAAAAAATAAATAGTCATCGAGGGACCAATTTTTTTTACGAGACCTGCATGTCAACTGTGATCAGATGTTATTATCTGTTGTTCTCCATCCCTTGGTTATATTGTCCTCTCTCTGGTTAGCAACTGTTTGGGTAAGGAAAATGTTTCTAATTTGGATTGCAGATGATCCTGAGCTAACTCGCATCCATCATCGCAACTATGTAAAGGAGCACTTGGTTTATAAAGAGGTACGACTCCCTTAAAATCTTTAATCCCCCGCCCTCACACCAAATGGGGGCTATGGGAATTTCTGTTAGGGAAGACCTTTTTTTTGGGTGTGGGGGGTGGGTGTAGTCAATTAATTGTTGATTTTATTTGCATTATTTTTTATCTATTTGCTCATTCTGTTTATGGTGGTGTGTTTCAGGTCATACCTATTAAAGATCATGTAGTCCTTTCAAAGATACACCAAACTTTTAGAGTTGGTTATCTGAAGGTATGTCTTTAATTCTTTAATCCATATCCTGTTTTTTGTTTACTTATATTAGTGAGTGAAATTTATGCCTTAAATTGCTTATGCCAGGATGTCATTTTGCCCAGAGCATTGGATGAGGCCGTAGTTGCCAATTTAAATTCCATTATTCAATCAAATAATGCAACTGTAAGATCTATTTCATCGGTGTAATGTATTGATTCTTTTCATATATTTCTAAATTGGTTTTGTCTGAATCTTGCAGGTAGTTTCCTTGCTGAGAGACAATAACACTTTTATTAAGGAATTATTTGCTAGGCTGAAGCTTCCTGACACTTCCATAGAGTCAAAGAGAACTTTGGTAAGTATGGGTCCTTTGTTAACTTTTTCGTGTATATGTATAGCTAATGTTGTCTTAGCTGCGCTGTTAGTACTATTTAGTACAACACATCCACAGGTTCTACTGTGATGTCTTAAACTGTTTTAGGCTGATCTCTAAGTGCAATTGCTCCAAAACAGGAACTCCATTTCCAGCTCATTATTTTCAGAGTGCATTCAACATTCTAAAAATAATCATTGATAAATAAAGAAGTTTGTTACTCTTTATGTTGAAATAGGTATGCTTCTTGCACGAGTTTTGTACCTTAAGTAAGAGCTTGCAGATGGTGCATCAGCTCCGGCTATTTAGGTAAGTTTAGCTGTTACATCTCTTTTGATTTTTTCTTCTTTTAACACATATATACTCTAGTTTAAATGTGATGCTCCCGTTTCTCTTTTCGGGCGTCCCAAATAAATTATCTATTCCCCAGACTATCTTTTTTCCTTCAAAACTACCCACCTTAAGTAATGAATCATTGAATATACAAATATACTTAATGAATGATAATGTGATACCATTAAACTTTGATTACTTACTATTTAACGTAAATAATGTAGAAAGTGCAATATTTGCAGTTTCAACACCCAGATGATTTGGATGGAGGGAACATTAGCTTCTCGTGCATGCTAATATTTTCCTTAGTTTCTATGAATAATTCTTTTGTGAAGATGTTTATTCGGTTCTGTTTATGCTTGTAGGGATCTTGTCAATGAAGGAATTCTGCACATAATTGCAGATATTTTACTGAGTGAAGACAAGAAGCTTGTTTTGACTGTGTAAATGATTAATAATTCTCTAACATCTAAATTTTGTCTCTCTTTTTCATTTTTGAACACTCCTTTGTGATATATATTTTTTTTCTTTTTGTAAATGATACAGGACAGATATCCTGTTTCTTTTCTTGAAACAGGATCCAATTTCTTTTCGTTCAAATGAGAATTGGCAAGATGGTGTTCTTTTTGGACTTCTGGTGAGCAATATTGCATTCTGTATTTATGCAAGTTTGCAACAGCCTATTGCTGATGTTAGTGGTCATACTATTTGTTCTTTGAAGTGACTATATTAGGTGCCTTCTTGAGAAATTTCTGTGATATTGTGAAAAGATTATCTTCTTGATAGGCCTACGTAAATATATTATATAAGAGATACCTGAGGTAAATGAATCTTTCCTAGAATCTCATATAATCAATTGATAATCTGGCACACCCCCCCCCCCCCCCCCTAGGTTGACCATGTACGGTTTGCCAAATAACAACAAAATCATTAAGCCGTCGTCCAAAAAAATCCATACTGATGGGGACGGGACATATTGTTTGAAATTGTTGAAAGTCCTGTTTTCCAATCTTAGGAAATAGTGAAAAACTAAAGCAAAAGGACCTCATATTACTACTATCAGCAGTATTGCAGCATTTCTTTTTAATGGTAATGATGCTTTGTCTTTGTGAGGGGAACCTCATATTTTGCTTCGAATCAGTTCTTATTGACTTACAGAACGAGTACAATGCATCCTTAATTTGCAGGTTAAGAATATGCTAACAGATTTTGGAGATGATATGCACTGCCAAATTCTAGAAATTATTTGCAGTCTTTTGGATTCATGTACGCCGGGACCACAGGTGCTGTATTTCTGTAGTCTCTTAACTCAATTGTTTTTAGGATTCAAAGGGTAGCTGGAATGCTGTTTAGTAGAATGGTGATTTAAAATATCTGTGTACTAGCATCATCCAAATTCGTTTGAAGTTTGAACCGCAGAGGGAGCAAGCATCCATGGTTCAACCCAGTCTAACTAGATACGGATTGGGTTGCGTCGTAATATATTGTAAATTTCAAGTGTTGGCTTAAGGTAGATTTTGTTAAGTTTTGGGGCTATTGTCCTCTTAGAAAAGTTAATTACAATCCAATAAATCAAAAAACCTCATTCAATCACCTGAATTGGAAGATGATAAGTTAAGAATGAGAGAAGCCATTATCAGAAAGAAATATAATAAGAATAATAATAACAATAATTATTGTTATTATTATAATAATATTATTATCATTATAATAATAATTATTTTTTAATATTGTAATTGGTTGTTTAAAGAATGTATTTGGAACAGATTAATTAAATAGGTGTATAAATTAATTAACTCATTTATGTTGCAACATTGTGTACCGACTACTGAACTAAACTTACGTCGATGTTACTATTATCTTTGAAATTTATTTATTTAATTAAGCAAGATGAATAAAACTTCTTTCCCCAGTCTTTACATTGGACCCAACCAGACCTGACCCAACCTTTTTTGAATCAGACTCATTTTTTATCTACTTACATGTACCCGTTTCGAATCTTTCTGAATCACATGTTTGCCACTTCTAACCACATCTTTTCATTTTAATTTTATGTGTATGTTCTCAAGGTTTTATTTACTCTAGTAATAAATTTTAGAACCATACTCCCTTAGCAGTATAAAGAACGAGGGTTCGTATTTTTTTTTGAAATTTCTTTTGTGATGATCTTCTCCGCGTTTTTGTTCGTGACACTATTTTTCTTATTGCTGTGATGTACTTATATAATTTCAAATTTGTTGCAGAGAGAGATTCTTGTGGAAATCTTCTATAGGAAGCACTTTGGTGAATTAATTGATGCAATAGTTTCATCATGCCCACCAAATGGTGACGGTCAGATTGGCTTGAAGTCTCTGAGCTCGAATGCAGGATTCATGAATCAAATTCGTGTGAAGCCTGAAATATTGTTAAATATATCTGATCTTCTGTGTTTTTGTGTTATGCATCATCCACACAGAATAAAGTAATATCCGTACTCCTTGGCCAATTTAGCTAGTATTACTTGCATGGTAATTCAGTTTGAATTTACACTTTGAGTTTTGTTCTGCAGATGCAATTTTCTTCTTAACAATGTGATTGACAAGGTTTTATATCTGACAAGAAGAAGAGAGAAGTATCTTGTAGTTGCTGCTGTTAGATTTGTGAGGATGCTCGTGTCCCGTGGTGTAAGTTTCTTTTATATTTTCTGAAATCTACCGTGACTGCTTTGTTGTGATAGTTTCATTTACGTCTTTCTTTCTTGAGTCAAATTTATATCAGTTTTTACTTCATCTTACGTATGTACTTCATCTGTTGCTATTTAATTTTTTTTATATGCTTTTACTGGGGTTTTTTTCTTTTGAAGTTACGTGCGGCATTAATTCTAGACCGTGCAAATGATAATACTACTAGGTCTTGTTTTTTCTTCAGCTAGCATGTAAAGTTCACTCATGTTTTATTAAGCTATCTCAGTTTGCATATGGTTTCCTACTTCATATGCTGTAGTTTGTCCCACACTAGTTCTCTGCATTTATAGAATAGTAACATGTTTTTGATAGAACTAATCCGATTTCTTGTAAATGTGTTATTCAGCCTCCTCCCCTTGTGTATATTTTGGTTTATGTGAAATAGCTGCCATCCTGGTTATCTAGGATTTACCACCCCCCTGACAGACATAAGTTTGCTTTGCCACTTGTGTTAGATTTTATTCACTGTGGTTTGTTTTTGACTTTTGCAGGATGAGCATCTGATGAATCATTTTGTAAAGAACAATCTTCTTAAACCAATTGTTGATGCATTTGTCGCTAACGGGGACCGATACAATCTTCTGAATTCTGTGGTGCTCGAACTCTTTGAATATATCCGGAAGGTGTTTGTTCTACGTTGCATTGATTGCATGAAACTCTATCTTTGTCATTTTGTTTTCTGAAACATGTCTGCTGCAGGAGAATCTGAAAACATTACTGAGATATCTAGTTGATACATTCTGGGATCAACTGGCCAGATTCGAGAATTTATCTTCTATTCAAGCTCTGAAAGTTAAATACGAGCAGGTATTTCCCATACTTTTATGAGTAATTCATATCAATCTTGCTTCTCTATGTGCTCAATATATTAATGCATATACAGTCACTAGAAAGTGCTGGTGCAACAAGCACTAGTACTTTGTTAGACCAAAGGAAACGAATTGATGCACGCGCTTTGGAGAAAGAAGAGGAGGACTACTTTAATGAAGACAGGTTCGTGTCCCATTCATGCTCTAATCCAACTTAACTTCATTGCGTGCAAATTGTATGTACTAGAACTTAACTTATAGTACTAGTAAATGACAGAATCTGGGTTCTTGTCAGTGATGAAGAAGATTCAGCATTGGCTCATAATAAACCCAGCACTAAGAGAGGCCAAAATCAGCAGCCTGTCTTGACTAATGGGTCTTCACCAAACGACCCATCACCTAGGTATATAATTAAGTTACTTAATTTTTTTATCATCGAAAAGAATAATATGTTCACTCAATATTACTTACTTTCTCTATGTGAAGGCCTGCTAAACTTGTTGACTATGTTGACGATGAGGATTACACTCCGCCACCTAAAAAAACAGCAGATAGTTCTGTTGAAGACGATGATTTCCCGTTGAAACGCAAATTGACTTCGAAAGAGGAGCCTGAGCCAAAAAGGCTGAAGCAGCAGCTTCCAAAAGGCGGCTTAAAACCGAGAGAAGGGGTTTTTGCTGCCTTTTGTTCTACCCTAAGTCAGGGGGTGATACCGAGTAAGAAAGCAGTAACAATTGCATTCAACATTAATCAGTCGGATCCAAACAAGAAAGTTACTCCCAACATCGAAAATACAGAAAACGAAAAATGCACAGACAAAGAAGAAGCTTCCCCTCCCACAATGAGCTGCTCGAATGAATCGGGTGGTGATAGTAGGCAGGAGGGGGATGGGTGTCCATTATTGCCCCCCAATTCGTCACCGGAAATGGTTTTGAATGGACCTTGATCAGTTTACCTGAAATTTCATTATTGCCACTACATAACGGGTTGTGAGAACAGGTGAAAACCCTGGGGAGAAGATACTGTACAGTAGTTTAACCAGGATGCGGAGGAAATTGCACGGACGCTTGCTTTTTTTAGGTATCTAGTGTTTTCAGCAGAGTAGTAAGTATTTTTTTGATGCAAGACTTTTGACTAAGTTACGGATATAGCTTACGGTTCTCTAATTCTCCTCTCATGCTTGATTTATTTATGCTTTATTTATATTGTCTATATAGTTAGTTACCATTATGAATTATGTTCGACATAGCAAGCAATTCTGAGTTGATGAGGCTGGGAAATTAGTTTTAATTCTTGATCGAGGGCAGATTATGTGTTCTACTACTGCCAAAGTATTTGAGAATGGATGGGAAAATGTACATTATTCTGGAGGAGGAAACACGTTTGACATTTCACTTCTTACTTGTGAAAAAGAGATCCGATTGTCTTTCTTTATAGCCCGTAACTCCCTTTTTGTCTAGTTTCATAAACTACATAGTCCTCAATACTATACTTTGGACACTACACTGAATTCGCCCCTTTTAAGTTTAACTTACAGTTCGTTCCCTAATACATGAGAAATGTCTGGAATGCCCTTACTTTATATTACTATGCAATAAAAAATTGCTATTGCTAAAAAAGACGTTGATTGTCTAGTATACAAAACCTAAAAGCGGAGAATGCAATATCAAAAGTATATTGTGGACCGTATAGTATATATCATATATGAAACTAAACACAAGAGTATACTATTAAACAATTTTTAACAATAGTAATAAAAAAAAAAAAAAAAAAAACTACTTTCAAATATTTAATACTCCAAAAAATAATTATTTGAATTTTGAATGTTAATTATATGATTTGACTACAGTCTATAACTAAATAATAAGAATTAAATTTTAATTTTCTCTTAAAAGAGCTATGGGTTCCTTTTTTAGTGTTGGATCACGTAAAGAATTAATTTGATTCGAAAATAGCGCCACGAAGTTTGCAAGCCAACGGACGCGTGTGCATGAAGAGGACACGTGTCAGCTTCCCACCTGCTCTGTTTTTTTCTTACAAATTCTCTGTCACACTAGCACTCTTGTTCCTGTTTTGTTCCAAGAAAGAAAAAAAGAAAAAAAGAGGAAAATAAATAAATAATAAATTTGAAAATGAGTTTGGAGAAGCGTTCGTTGATTGATGAGCTGAGTAGCTTTGACAGCGGCGGGTTCTTAGATCTGGGTCACCCTCTTCTTAATCGCATGGCCGAAAGCTTCACTAAAGCTGCTGGGGTATTTTTTCTTTTTTTAATTTTCTTTCCTTCCCCCCTATTAATTTAATTTCATCATTTTTTTTTCTAATTCTTCTTATTGTTATTATTTGACGCTAATTTTGATTATGTGATGTATTTGTAATTGAAATAGCTTACTTTGATCTGACTAATGATATTGAGGATTTGATGTAGTAATATTTGATATGATTTTGTTGAATTAATTAAATTGATTGATTATTCGCATTGGCAGATTGGAGCTATTCAAGCAGTTTCTCGCGAAGCCTATTTTACAGCTGTCGAAAGTGGGTTCGCATATTCGACAACTTCGATAATTTTTTTTCTTTTTCTTTTTTTTCCTTTCAAGAATTGACAAGTATATATGTTGAGTTTTTTGGGGGTTGATGAATGAATGAATGAATGAAAAATCAGGTGGGAGTGGAAGCACTTCTGAGAATGGAGCCTCCAAGAAGCATCATCACTTTCCAGATCTTAGAGGTACTTACATTTTATAATTATTACAAAACTAATTTGATTAGTAAGAATAAATATATGATTATTATTATATTAACCATGCATGCATGTCAAATGTCTTTTAATTGTCTGCAGGAGAAAATAACAGAAAGTCAGTTGAGGCTCTGGTTAAGAGCACTGGCAAAGAATCTATGCAATGGGGTACTTAATTAATTAACCTCCCAAGTCCTAATTAATTAGCCATTATTATTTATTTATTAATTGATTGTTTAGTGAGTAATTAAAGCATAATATTGTTAACGCATGCAGGTCTAGCAGCAGGAGTGTATTCCGGCCTTACATACGGGTTGAAAGAGGCAAGAGGCGTTCACGATTGGGTAATATTTCTTTTTAATCTTAATTAAAATTAATTCGGCATGTTTTTTTATTAGTTGTGTTAATAACAAACATTCATGTTATTCGTTTATGTTTTATGTTTGATCGATTCTTTAATAATTTGGTGGTGCAGAAGAATAGTGCATTGGCTGGAGCAATAACAGGGGCGGCATTGGCGTTGACTTCAGAGGACCACTCGCACGAGCAGGTGGTGCAGTGTGCTATGACCGGAGCTGCAATCTCCACTGCCGCTAATCTTCTCACCGGAATATTCTAAGCTTTCGTAAATTGTACTATTTAAATTCTAGCACTTTCATGTGTTTGTTTTTTGTTCTGTTTTAGGATTCCTTGTGTAGAAAAGATCTTGTTATCGCCTGAAGTTGTTTTTGCCCGATTTTTGGGATCTCGTTTTTATTTAGTTTTGGAAAATATGTGTTCTTGCATGATCAATTTCGATTCACTAACTAGTATATATCATCTCGATTAAAGTGATCAAATTGGCAAAGTGAGTTGACTAAGAATTTTGTTACGAAAATGGAAGGGAACTTGGTTGGTTGGTTACTTGCAACAAGAATGTGGAGTCCAATATTGATAAGCTCATGTGTTTAGCTTGTTATTTGGACTATCTAACAAAATACGCGAGCTCAATTATTTCGATTCCTCCGATGGACTTGGATTTGTTTGTTTGTCGTATAAGATCTCGTTCGTTTGCCATTACCAGGATAAACCACTATAAGGTCAAAGAGTAAGTAATATGTTCGTTTGGTTCAATTCAATTTAGGTTGGACTAGCAATAAAATTTGAGACCCGCAATTAAATATTACTATTTCATAAAATTAGTACTAATTAAAAAAAAAAAAAAAAAAAACTTTATCCTATTACTACAAAATATAATATTTTTCTTGCTATTCTATTGCGAAATGATGTAAAATATTAAATTTTGACACATTTAATATTAGATGGAATCCGAAAAACCGAACATCTTAATTTTTAGTTTTTACCGACTAATTAATTAACTAATAGGTAATAAAATTGTCTAGCTTTTTTTTTTTTTTGTAATGAAGGAATCCTCAGTCAATCGTATAGGTGAGTGTATTGGATAGATTTACACTCGTGTAATAGATAATAAAATTTGTCTAGTTAATTTTAATTCAATCTAAACCATATTTAATTCGAAATATTTAGGAGGTTAGTTGGAATTATTGAAAAGTAGTGGACCCCCAAAAAAACGTTTATAGAAACTCGGGGTCACAAATATAATAAACGCAGAATTATATATGATCTCTTATTTTCGCGTCGATTAAGTAGATTTCTTTTAGGTTTTAGTTTCCCATATCGCAACCACACTCGGGTGGAGGAAGAAGGTATGAACTTTGCCCTAGATTCCGTCTCTGCGTTTCTCTCAAAAATTTGATGTGATTTATAATTGCTGTATTGTTTCTCTGAATATTGGCGAGATCTGATTTACGCGTTGGTATTCGATTGATCGGTGTGTATATTTTCATAGTTTTTCTTTTCCAATTGAATTCTTCTCCCGTTTAATGAAATACTGTGTTTATGGAAGTAGATAGAAGAAATCCCTAATTAATTGTTTAGATTCGGTGTAATTCTGTGTGGGGGGTTTTGTTCAAATTTAGGGTTAAGAAAAGTAATTTAACAGGATTTGGGGATTTTTTAAAATTGAGCTCGCCTATTAGTTACTTGGGCTAAGTTACTTGTGTAACATGATTCATTCTTTTAGAGATTTGTAATGTCTAAAATTTTAGTTTGTATGTTTATTTCGTGGGAACTGTTACTAAACAACTCTTTATGTTTCCATTGATAGTTTGACCATGTCGAGCAACAAAGATGACGGTGCAGCAGACAGAATCAAAGCGGCCGCTCTAACCGCCGCCAAGGGTCTGAGCCGCGCCCAGGCTGAGCGAGCAGCCACCGCCGCTGCTCGTAATGTGAACGCGTACGGGCAGAAGGAAGAGGGCCCCAGCAGATGGCAAGAGAGGAAAGAAGCCAAGAGGCAGATGTACCTAATGAGTACCGAAAAGCAAGTCCGATTGGGCGAAAGAAAAGACACCAAGAACTCAGCTCCAACACTCGGTGCATCTTCACAATGCCAAAAGTGCTACCAAACAGGGCACTGGACTTACGAGTGCAAGAACGAGAGGGTTTACATTTCGAGACCATCTCGCACACAGCAACTGAAGAACCCGAAACTTAGAATGAAGGTTTCCATTTCGTATGATTTGGACAACCCCGATATACCAGTAGAGGATAAGAGTGAGAAAAAGCGCGAAAAAAAGAAGAGTAAAAAGAAGCACAAGTCCGGGACTAAGTCGGATAATGACAGCGAGGCTTCGGTTTTCGAATCGGACAGTGATCGTTCGTCTGTTACAGGATCGGACGATGACTCTTCTGGAGAGAGTGAGTCGAGCTATAGTTCTTCGACTGATTCGGAAGAGGAGAGGAGGAGAAAGAGGAAGAGTAAGAAACAGAAACAGAGGAGGAGAAGCCATCGTAGAAGCAGCTCTTCGTCTGAATCTTCCGAGTCGGAGTCTGATTCGGATTCTGATTCTGATGGTAAGAGCCGTCGGAGAAAGGGCAAGAGTAAGAGGCATGGTACGAAAGCACTGAGACAAGGTGCAATGAAAGTCGAAATTGTGGTGTTACGACATGGTGTAACTCTTTAGGATGTCTTGTTTTTAAATGAGTTTGTTTAGTACGTTGAAGGGAAGTATTTGACGAGGCCTAAAACTCTGTAGGAGATTGCGTTTTCGATAATTTTGTTTGTAATGTGTTTCCTTGCAGTGTGATTGTTACATTGTTTACTTATGATTAGATTTTACCTTTGGTTTGTGCTCTTGTTGAATGCATTGAAGTTTGGTTTGTTACTGCACATTTTCCAGGTTAGGTTCAAGTGATTTGGTGTTTGTGTATTGCCTAATTTTAGCTGGAAGAGCATATTCCATATTTCATTAGTTTATGCGTCTTAATAATTTGTAATGTGGAAAAAATACAATCAATAAAATAATCAATTAATGAATTATTTCATTTGATTAGGCAAGAAATTTCAATGTAATGTCAATTGATAATTTTTCGTGGCTTTGAAAAGAGCAAGTGAATTCAAACTCACAAAACTAAATAATTTTATGGGTTAATTACGGCCACCTCTGAGTTATGGTTAAATTACGAAAACCCTCTCCTTTTTGGATAGTTATAGTCATCCTCTCAACTATGTATTATATTACGAAAATACCCCTCCATAGGTAAATTTAAGGATGTTAAATTGGTAAAACCTAACCGAACTGAATACACGATCTGGTTCGACAAATAACCGAATTATATAAAATTTATGTAAAAATATTTAAAAGGGGGACTTGCTATTTGCTGTTTGAAAATTGCTATTTGCGGTTTATAACAAAAAAACATTTTATCTCTCTAAAACCTCAAAACTTTCCAAAAAAATCCAAACCCCCCCCCCCCCCCCCCAGCTTAAGAAGCGGAAAATTCCAACTTTGACGCGCAAGCTGCCTTTTGGAGACGAGAGCTAAATTTTTTTTTTTTATTAATTTGAAGCCCAATATCGACCTTAATATTACCCATATTCAAATCGAAAGTGACTCGTTAATGGTGATTAACTTGTTACGACATGGGCAGGGGCGCACATGGGCATTAGAATATTTCATCAAAGAGTGTAATGCGCTTATGAAAAAATCTTACACATAAACTCATGTATATCGACAAAAAAATTCAGTTGCAGATTGTTTAACTTCTTGCGCGCATTCTCATCAATCGACCATGGAGTATTTGAAAAGGAACTTCCACGATCAATTTGGATTGCGTACAACTGTGATAGGCTTGGGAAATGGAATTATCGACCTTATGAGAATAAGATAATTTTGCTGGAATTGGAACTACTGTCATCG